ACCTTCCTGGTTTCTGTCAAAACAGCCCGCCGCTAATTAGATGTGACTTCAGGAAGAATTTTTTCCGTCTCGCTGGCGCTTTCTGTGAGCCAAGAACAATTGTTTTCACCTCTTTGTTTTTGCTCAGACCTGATAGTCAAAAATCTTAATTATCTGAATTGAAAATGTCTTCACTTCATCATCGTGGGGGTTCTAATTTTTAACAGGTCAGAATCTGTATACAATTCCAGCGGTCACCTTCTCATCCCAAAAGACACCTTTCTCCGATTAATATTTCGTTTTCCATTGTTCTAAAAATCCCATTTCTCCAAATTGATAATGAGTCTTCTACACAAAAGTAGGCCAGATGCTTTGACCGACATTTTTATCAATCGTACATATGCTCATACATTTTTACCAAGCCTGTTTTCTTTCTTTCTTTTAATTACCTTTAATTCTATTCTCCCAAATAACAATCTCCATTGTCACTTGAAATTCGGTCAGGCGCGTTGGCCTAGATACTTCTTGACACCTGTTTTCGCTAATGACCGGCCTTTTGCATTACTCATCCTCTTTCCTTTTTCTTTCTCTTTCTATTTTCTTTTTCCCTTCTTTTTTTTTTCTTCCCTTAGGATCGCCTAAGTACAATTAGAGAATTATTCTCGAAACTCAATTATTCTTCGTCTAAAATACTAACAACTGGTTAATAAACCGAATAAAAAAAAATTAAATCATATTTCTATGAATATTTCTTTTTTTTTTAGTCTTTCTAATAATGCAGGGTGCCACACTTCTCTCCGGGTATGAATCAAAAGTTTGTAGCGAATGATATATAACCTTGCCCTTGTAAACTAGTAGTGGGTTAAATGAGTGCAAAATGAACGCGCACTCTGCTAGTAAACGTCATGCTGTCTCGAAATCCCCGAAAGACATAATAAATAGAAGTTTAAAGAAGAAATTTGCTGAACTGATCCAATTAAATCCCAGTGCCGGCAGAATTCCTGCAATGTCACAGAAAAACGTGACAAAATAGTGGAGGTAATTATTTTATTAAAAAAATAAAATCCCTAAGGAATTTGCATTAGAGTCATGTTAATTAGAGACTCTTATTTATTTTGTTTCCAAGTTATCTGTTTTTTTTTGTGGGGGGTTGTTGTTTGCTTCCGTCAATGATCTTCCTTAAATAAAACAGCATTTCTGTTCGTATTACATATGCATAAAATGAAATGCTGTTTTTTTACGTCAGAAAATATATAGTGGTAGTAATAGTTCGATAAGACAACTACTCGTTCACGTCATTGAAAAGCGAATCAAAATAAGAGATATTAACAAAAGAAAAAAGAAAAAGAGATTATTGTGTCAATTTTATGGGGACAATGACATCTTTCCCCGAAATTAACTACTTGAACCCAAATAAAAGCCCAAGATTTTAAATGCAAACGCTCTCTTTTCTTCTAATTATTTGCGTTTCGTGAGAAGACACTACCGATTGAGAAAATTAGTTTGACATAATCTTGCTTCTTTTTATTATTACTTTCGACGCTAAACTTAGTTCATACGAAAATATTACGAACTGTTGCAATAGCAAATATAATAGTGTATTATATATATATATATATATATATATATATATATCGTAATCATCATCTTGACTTGCGGCCTTGTGATGATTCAAGTGAAGGTTATTAAATAATTTTTGCCCTCTGTCAGACAATGCTAAACGTTAACATATGAAAATATTTCTAAAGAATTAATATTCTTATTTTTAATCCGAAAAGAAGTCAGAAAAGGATTCCACAAGAGAGAAGTGTGAGAGAAGAAAACGTTAGCATAGAACTTACGGTTATAGCTACCTATTTCAACTGTAAGATGATGAAACCTTGCCGCCAATATATAAGAAATAAGTACGCGTAAATTCATAAACTCTAGGTAACAAAGAGGAAAGTAAAATTTATTTTGAATAGTAGAAAAATGTGGCACGAAGCCAAAAGTGGGGTCAGGGTTGGGCTGGTTTTCAGTCCGTCTTATCTTTAACTTAGCTAGCCACGATTACTGATTCAAATATATAACCGTATTCCTTGGGCACCTCGAGGCGGTGTAATGGTTAGCAAGCTTGGCTCGCTAAAACAATTACGACTGAGTAGTGAGTTCGATCCTCACTGGGTGCCCCCAAATTTCGGCCTCGTGCCACATCTAAGCTACGCTTGGAAAATCACTATAACAGTATTCCTTACACCAAAACAACACATTCTGAATTACCATTCTTACTAAAGCAACGATAATAAGTCAAAATCTATATTCAGTCGTAACTAGTTCCCATAAGTACAATTTATCTTGGAATAAAAATAACAATAAAGATGAAAACTCATCAGAACAATTACCATGAAAATACTTATAGAAAAGGCACAGGGAAAATAATCGATCGCAGTAGAAATTGACTAATTAAGGGTTTCCAATACCAGGCTGAAACATTACACTGCCTCTCAAATGTCGTCTACAAAGCCACTTAATTAAATATTTTCATGAAGAACCCAATCCCTATTAAACCTTTCAGGTCCATCCAATGCAGTTAAGTAATCATAACTAAAAATTAAATTGAGAAATCAATTTTAATGTACCTCTTTGTTCAACATAAACGTTTCTCTTTCTTATGTTGGCTTAAAGGTGGGAATTTGCTTGTTTTTAATACTCGGAATCTTTTCTCTCTGTTGAGAGTCGAAAAGAAAAGATTCTTCAATTTTTTTCTTGTTGGTCAATCTACTTTTCTTGTTTATTAACCTTTTAATTTTTCTTATATCTCTGTTCATCATTTAAGTGTCTTTGCTAAAATTTTCAATTTTCAGTTTAATACCTACTTGTCTATATTTTTGAGATGAGGTACTGTAGTTGATACTACTGGGTCGCATAATAAGAAGTAATGACTTGGAAATTTTGACAAACACAAGGACGTATTCAAGGCAAGAGAGGCAGGGGTAAACAGCGAATAATTTCCCGAACAAGCTTGTGTAAATAGATGGCGGAACATGGGATATGAGGAATGGTGAATAGACAAATCTTATTTAGAGGTAAAAATTCCGTCTACATTTCTGAGATGAGGAATTGTAACTATTTACAATATTTACATTGTTCGGACCATTGTCTTCAACTTTGTCGTCATATATTCATGACGCTTCCGTCGTTGTACGCTCTGGCCTTCTTCAGGTGAAATTCTAACATATATCACCTGAAAAAGGCCGAAGCGCACAACGGTTGAAACGTCGTGAATATGACACTAAAGATAAGGACAACCGTTCATTTTTGCTTGTACTGTATTTTTAGCTCAATTTCTTTTCCAAATTTTAGCGTGTTATTTTCTTCACCTTTACAATATCATGATACTTTTTTGAGGTCATATCTTTCGAACGACCCATGCCGTTCTTTATATATACAAAAATTAGCTAATATAAATATTAGCATATTTACAAAGTAAGGAATCATGACTCTCCACAATTTCCGGTTCTTTGAAGCATATAATAAATTTTGTCTTTTGTTCATCTCTCCTAAACCGTGTTCCGTCATCCATTTATTGAAGATCGCTATGTAGGTAATCCGTTGCTTTTGCTCATTTCCTCTTCCCTTTAATGTGTCTTGTGAGTATCAAGTTTTATACTCCTTCTTTTCTCATTATGTACCCGAGAAATTTCAACTATCTCTTCCTAGAATTTTAAATATCAGTATGCTTTTTATTTCCATTTTCTCTAAAACTTCGTTTTTGCTCACATGTTTGGTCTAGGGCGTTCTTAGTATCCTCTTGTAGAACTACATTTCTCTTGCTTCAAGTCTCTTCTTCATCTGTGAGGAGATTATTCAGCAACCACTGCCATGCAGATGGACTGATATCACGTGATAATTCAATACTCTTTGTTTCGAACGAAATTTTCCTGTTTCTTAATACTTTACTTTAGTAAGGCATCTTTCGCTATCCCAATGTGCCTTCGAATTCCAGTGTCACACTTTCCGTCCTCTAAATATTTCTTTTAGATATTTAAATTGCTGTACTTGTTTTGGTATTTCCAATTTTTAATTTGGATGTTGGACTCTTCCTTTTCCTAACAAATATGTATTCAGTGTTCTTGCAGTTGATAATTAGTCCTTTCTTCTTGCTTTCCTTCATTACCTTCTTGTATATCTCGTAAACCAAATACTATAAGAATAAATAGGAATATTTATTAATAATACAGGCATATTAAAAAATTACCAATGTTTTTATATAATTATAATAAATATCTGTCTATATCTCAGAGATGAGGTATTATGATTACTTACATTATTTACATTATTCGACTGTTATCCTCATCTTCATTGCCATATTTACAACGTTTTGGACGTTGCACGCTCCGGCCTTCTTGAGGTGATTGGAATTTGGAAACGAACCCTTTATTTCGTCCACCGGGGTAAATTGTTTTAGTTTCATGAGCCAGTTATAACTGACATATCTGGAAGAGGCATGGCACGTGGAACTAGAAAAATATACCCCCCGGCGGACGAAATAAAGGGTTCAATTCGAAATTTTAATCGCCTGGAGAAGGTCGGAGCGTACAATGGTCGAATCTTCGTGAATATGGGAGTGAAGATGAGGAATAATGTAAATCATATAAGTAATTATAATAAAATCTGGCATAGTGCAAAGCATAGATTTTTTTTTCTAATTTTTGCTTTTATGGCGAACTCATCTTTCTCTCCCCTCCACCATTTCTGCGATATGTATCTTCACCATATGGGTGATTACGGTTCTCCACAACTTCCAGCAATACCATTTTGCATTTGTTGCATTTGTCCTTCCAGCCTTTCTTCAAGTTGATGAGTTTTATTTTTCGTTTGTTTCTCTTGTGAAGGCAAAATTTCTTAAAATTTCTACTCCCCCACCACGTTCCATCTGCCTTTATCTTTCATCTCTCACGCTCTCACTCTCGCTCTTTCTGTTATCATGTGTTTAAACCCTCTCTGACATTACATTCCTTCTTTCTCTTTTCTTTCTTTCT